CGAGGCTTCTCGCCTGGGTGGTCCTGGCCATGGGGACTGCTTGCCTCTCGGAGCAGTTACCCAACTGCGCTGCCGCACTCGGGGTGGGGGGGTCTCCTCCAGCCGTTGTCCTGAGCTCTGCCATTCCGAGGCCCGGCCGGGAGCCCTGAGCTCTGCCATTCCGAATCCCGGCCAGGAGCCTGAGTCTCTCTAACTCTTTCAGCCCCCTCCAGTCTCAGGCCGATTCGACGAAATTCTCACTTCGCTGCTAGTGCCTGCTTCTGTTGGCCTCCAGGACGCTGTCCAGGGTGAGTCTCTGCTCAGTCCCGGGTGGGGTTCGCCCTGCAGCCTCGAGGCTCCGACGTAAACTCACGGAGGCTGAGTTCGTGCGGCCTTTGCTGCCGCAGAGATGGGAAGGCTGATTGCCAGGCCCCCTGCAGATCAGAGCTGAAGCCCAGCCCAGGCAGTGAGATTTCACGTGGCTCCTCGTTATTGCCGAACCTGATGCTCAGCTTTGGTTCCAACAGTCACCCTCCAGTGCTATCGTTAATCAGAGAGACAGACAGTTCTCGCAGAAGCCAAGTAATGTGCCACCAAAAGGAAACAACACAAATCCAACCTTTCTAAATAGCTGTCTTTGCAACATAAATTGTTTCTTTGCCATATCTAATGTTGACATGAAAATAAAATCTAAAGTTCACTTGGCTTTAAATAGAATTAAATTGTCCTTATAGTAAAAGATTTTCTCAGCATTGAAACCACATTTCAACTGGTCTTAACTGAATACGTCCTGAAACCACTTTTAAAAAAATTATTTTATTAATTTTCCATAGTAGACATAACCACATAACCAAAAAGCATGCAGAGAGAAGAAACAAATCTGGACAAAAGGTCGGAGTCGCCTTTCCCACAGTGGAGAAGGAAGAGTGGCCAGGTGAGGGAAAACCACCACCAGGAAGCCCACCCAGCCACGTGTGAGGCGTCCGCACCGTGTCGCGTCACAGCGCTGGACAGGAAGAGCGAGTCGGGGTGAAACTGCAGGGCGCGTTCATGCATTCCCATGAGTTTCTGACCAGGAGGGCCTTGGGGGCGCCCAGGGAGCAAAGTCGTACAGAGAAAACGTTTTCTGTCCACACGACGCGCTCACTGTGACTTCACACAGACACAAGGGACAGGAAGAGAGGGCAGTGACCAAAGGCACTCGTGCTCGGAATCCTCACCCTGTCCTGCTGCTGGCTCCCAGCACGCAGGATGGAAAGTCCCACCCCCCCCCACCCCCCGGGTCAAGCTTCTTTGTGGCCTCGGCAGTGCAGAGAGTTAAGACGACCATGACCGTGACCCAGGATAAATTGTAAGTGGCAAGTGATCATCGAGGACACACACGCTGGTTTTCACTGGGAAGACTGACCTGGGGAAGAGTCTTAATTAGTCTTAATTATCTGTGGGGCACCTGTGGAAAGGAATTAGATGTCAGTGTCCACATTTCTGGAGACCCACAATTCCACTTCCAGGAGGCGAGTTTCCCAAGAGAAACACGTGCGCATTTGCGTCAAGAAACACGTAAAAACTATGTGACCTGAAGTGGTGTTGGTAAGAGCCCAGCGCTGGACTGAAGCCAGGGGCACACAGACATTTACAGAAGGCAGAACACACTGTGGTTGTGCAATGGGGGAGCACCCACTCGTAAAAGCGAGGAGAACTCCTTGATGTGGGATAATTGAGATGAGACTCACAGACATGACACAAATAAGGCACTCTGCATTACTCAACGGAAATGCACTTTAAAAACAAGAAACCTGAACTACTGAGATGGCTCTCAGACCAGAAGAGGTGGTGGTTAGGGAATCTCACAGGGCCGGGGGCTCCCACGCTCTGGCAGGGCACTGGCTGCTGGCCCTCTGGGCGGGGGTTGCTCTGTGAGGACTGACGGTCACTTTTGGGATTTGTTCCTAGTTTTCTCCATTTGGACATCACTCCAAGATTAACAGACTTTTTTAGACTTATTTATTTATTTGAAAGACAGAGTTACAGAGAGAGAGAGAGATCTTCCATCTGCTGGTTCACTTCCCAAATGGTCACAATGCCCAGGGTTGGGCCGGGCCAAAGCCAAGAGCTGGGAGCCTCATCCGGGTCTCCCACGTGGGTGCAGGGGCCCAAGTGCTTGGGCCTTCTTCTGCTGCTTTCCCAAGTGCATTAGCAGGAAGCCGGATAGGAATTGGAGCAGCCAGGACTCAAGCCAGTGCCAGTATGGGCAGTACAGGGTGCCAGCGTTGCAGGTGGTGTCTCACCCGCTGTGCCCCAATGCTGGCCCCTCCCCCTTCTCCCTCCCCTTCCTCCTCCTCCTCCTCCTCCTCCTCTCTCTTCTTCTTATTCTAAAGGAAACAGTGTAGCCATGTAACAGTGAAGGTGGCACGTAACAGTCACAGAGGAAGAATGACAGGACACGGAGTGGGGGAGCACGGGTCCCAGGGCCAGGCACACTAACAAGCGGCCTACTCGGAGTGAGAAGTTTTAGAACCTTAAAATCCTGCTGACTCAGAACGGACCCGTGACGCTACTGGTTTGTGTGGACCACGGAAAGCTTGGTGCCGGGCAGACTCCCGGGACCTTGTACCGACCGGGCCCCCCCTTCCTTCTGGCCTCAAGTCCCCAAGAACGACAGCAGAGTTTTCTGGGAGAGCAGCACCCTGAGATGAGTGGGAGCCGGCAGGGTGGCCCTCCCCACCCCCACCTGCGTCAGCCCGGCCCTGGACCTTGGAGCACAGAGCTGGGGCCGCTGCACTTCAGGGACCCGGATCTGTGCCGGGAGGGTGGCTCGTGCCACTGGGCTGCCACCCACCCCCCGGCAGCTTTGTGAACCCCAGGGGGCCGGTTCGCTGTGACACCTAGGCTGCTGTGGTCCCTTGCTGCCCGTGGTCGGTGTCATGGGACCTGAGTGTGAGGGACAGCTGTGCCTCACCCGACTCAGACAAGCCTGGCGCCAGTGTGCGGTAACCCTGCCACATAGCTACTTGGGTGCCCCTTGAAAAACCTGGAACAGAATGGAGGTGAGGGAATGCACACGGCATCTCTACTGGTGCTCAGTGATGAATCTGAGCTACGCAGAATGACCCTGAAGTGGGCGCAGCTTCCAGAGAGCACCCACCAGGGCGAAAGCCTGGACACGGCCGACCACAGGCAGTTTGAGTTTGCCTAAAACTGACAAATAAAAGTTACAAATACCATAAAGCTACCATTTCTTTTTTTTAAAGAATTATTTATATTTATTTGAAAGACAGAATTACAGAGAGAGGTAGAGCCAGAGAGAAAACTTTTTCCATTCTGCTGGTTCGCTCTCCAAATGACTACAACAGCCAGAGCTGAGCTGATCCGAAGCCAGGAGCCAGGAGCTTCTTCCGGGTCTCCCTCGTGGGTGCAGGGCCCTAGGACTTGGGCCACCTTCCACTGCTTTCCCAGGCCAGAGCAGAGAGCTGGATCGGAAGAGGAGCAGCCGGGACCCGAACCGGCGCTCATACGAGATGCCAGCACAGCTGGCTGGGGCTTTAAGTCACTGCACCACAGAGCCAGCCCCAACTCCCATTTCTAAAGATTTATTTATTTACATAAAGTTTCTATTTATTTTAAAGGCAAAGCATCAGAGAGAGAGAGAGAGAGAGAGAGAGACAGAGAGAGAGAGAGACAGAGAGACAGTTAAAGATACCTTCCATGTGGGGATTTGCTCTCCAAATGGCTGCAACAGCCAGGGCTGGGCCTAACTGAAGTCAGGAGCCTGGAGCTCCATCCGGGTCTCCCACAGGGGTGGCATTGGCCCACGTACCTGATCCAATGCACGAGACAACAAGATCAGCAAATCCAGGCCCCCCAAGCCAAGGCTCCTCACAGCAAAGGTGAGGAAGGCTTGAGGAGCAGGTCTGTTCTCGGGTCCCTGGGCCTCACACTCGTAGGCATTCAGAAGAAATAACCATGAGAGATGTACATGAAATCTCATCCAAAAATTGAGTTTATGATTCACCAGCACCTGTGCCAGCACAGACCCCTTCTCTCAGGATCTCATGTTAGACGGTTTTGCACCTCCACTGTTTTTTTGTAATCACACTTTTACATCAACCGTGACTCGTAGGGACGTGGCTGTGGGTGCAGGGGACGGAGCGGTCTGGAAGGGCTGCGGCCTTGTGTCCCGGGGACGGCACTGAGCTGCAGGGTCATCGTCCACCCGACAGCACCTTGTCCCTGCGATGTGAACAAGCTGCTGGCCTTGGGTTAGACGCCCTCCTCCTGTATCTGCTCCACGCACTGATGTAGAGACGCTACCTGAAGCAAGCAGAATAGAACATCCCGTTCCCTGGGTGGCGATGACGGCCACCTGCTGGTACAGGCACTGGCCCTGACGGGGCAGAGCCGTTATCTTCCATGAGCAGCAACAGGACGTCATGAAGACCAGCATGTCCTCGAGACGAAGTCTCACTGCCCTGGCGTTCGCTCTTCCTTCGGGCGACGCCTTCCAATGATCGCGGGCAAGCGTCCACCCAGACGTGGACGTCAGTGGTTTTTCCTGAAGGTGCTCACTTCCGTGTTCATGTTCAAGGTGACTTTATAGTGTGCTTGGCCAAGGTGATTCTAGACGCCGATTACTCAGGACAAGTGTTTCATGTTTGTCCGTCTAATAAGAGCTGATTCTGCTTCACCATGGCGCGCCTGGGCCCCCAGACCGCAGTCGGCCGATGGCTCACGGTCAGGCTCGGGCTTCCTGCCTCCCACGGCCACATGTCCTCCCATTCTAACACTTGCAGGCCACTGGACGCTGGCCCAACCCCGCGCCGGTCTGGCCTGGACGAGGGCCAGCCACATCTCTCATTGTTCTCCAAGGCCATCCCAAACCCTGTCTCCATTCATTCTGAATCTAAACAAACAAACCAAACAATGGGGAAAGGGCCCTCCCTGAAACTCCTCCAAGCACAGCAGGGCCACCGTAAGTCTCACCTCTGGTGTGAGGAGGCTTGTGATCTCCCGACTCCGGGGCAGCGTCCCTAACCCCGGGCGCTCACGGGGTGTCTGTCGAAGGAGGTGATGTCTGACTCACCTCCCACCATGCCCCACGAGGGACGGATCACACCTGATGTCTTCCTGGCTCTGTGCCTGGCACAGAATAAATATCTAATAGATGTTTCCTAAGTGGCCTGCCTCATCCCCACGGCACAAAGCACTTACCGACTCCTCCCCGTGTTTCCAGCACACGGTTGTCGCCGCGAGTCGGTCATTTCTGCTGTCTCCTGTGCCCGTCAACACTTCAAGGATATGACAGTAAATGACATGTCATGACTCAAGGCACTCAAGACACGGGAAGACTGATCCACTCGCGACACTGCAGGAAAGCTCGCGGGAGGGAATCTCAGTTCCACTCAGAGACAAAGCAGCAAAGAACAGCGGCTCTGACTGGGCCCAGCGGAGGAAGAGCAGGCCAGGGGCAGGCAGAAGGCAGCGAGGCAGCCACGCCTGCGGAGGTGGACAAAGGCCACGGGCACCGTGGGTGTGGAACAGGTGAGAGGGCATGGGGAGGCTGAGACCTGCAGCACCGTGAAGACGCGCTGCGTCCGCACGTGCCGCAGGCTCCCGGGAACTCGGCCGCGCACTCGGGACAGGAGAGAGTTCTGTCCCTGCGCAGGAGCTGGGCCCCTGCCGATCCTGCCTGTGTCCCAGCTGCAGGGGAGGTCCGTTTCCCACCCAGGGGTCGTCGCTGCTGCGTCGGCCCTGGTGACCACCTCCTGAGTCTTGCTGGGTAACGTCAGTCCCGTGACTCCGGCTCCTCCAGGCTGTCCTGGCTGTGCGGGGTCTTCTCCTTGTCCGTGTAAACCTTGGAATGTGGGCGCCAATATCTACAAAGTACTTTGGTTTGCTCTGTTGGGGCCTAGAACAGGGGCTCAGCCCCGAACACTTCTGTTTAGGGATGTGCTATACCTAGGTATTGAACTTGAACTTTTCCATATGTAATTTGGTAGCCATCAGCCATCAGCAAACTTGCAAAGTTCTTGGTCACTCCCTCTCCACATATTTCCTTGCTCTATCTTCTCTCTATTCCAGTAGTCTACTGTTCTTGAATATTCCATTTCAGTGTGTGTGTGCGCGCGTGTGTGCGTGGGTGTGTGTAATGTGTGTGTGCGTGCATGTGTGTGTGCGTGCGTGTGTGTGTGTTCAGTTCTTCCTGTGTTTCAGTTTGAGAGCACGGGCTCCTTTCTCACCTTTGCAGGCCACTGAGAGCCCACCACGGCTGTTTTCATGGCTGCTCTCGGGCTTCCCCAGGGGCTGGCGTTGTTTCCAGCGGCTCCTCCCTGGGCGCTGTGTGCGAGCCCCCCCTTCCCCACCCCATTCCCCGGAAGGAACCCCCGAAATCCGCTGCCCATCAGACGCGGGATCTGACGCTGGCTCTGCTGGCGTTCAGGCTGCTTTTCCCGGCTTTCCTCCGCAGGCCCTGCCGTCATTTGTTGAACCCCCGGGCGATGCGTTGGGTAACCCGCAGTGACGTCAGTGCTACCAGGTTTGACGAGCATGTGGTGGGGGTTGGGGGGTCGGGCTCGCTGGCGTCTGCCATAGGTTTCGTCCCGGGCCTCCTTGCCGCCTCCCTGGGAACTCAGCCCCGAGCCGACTCCGGGCTCGGCCGCCGCTCCGGCTGCCCTTCCACTCTCCTGACGTCATTACACGGGGGCCCCTGTGAGGTTCAGGGATTCCGTGTGACCCACGTTCACCCCGTGACTTGCAATCCTGCGCTCCCTCTCCTGTGCTCCCGGGAGGGCGCAGCTGTGGGCACGCACGCACACGCTGCCCTGGGCAGGGGGTCCTGTGTCTACGGAGGGGTCTTCTCCACCGCCTGTTGCTGTAACTGCATCCCACAGCCCAGGGGTGCGTAAAGAACACAAGGCTGTTTCCCTCATGGTTCTGGGGCTGCGACGCTCGGGAGGGCAGCAGCAGCACCTGGCAAGGCCCTTCTTGCTGCACGGTGACAGGGTGCAGGGCACCCATGATGAGACAGCGGTGCACTAGCGTGGCTCACTGTTCCTCTTCCTGCAGTCACTGATGCCGTTATCAGAAGCTCTGATTCCCTCATCCAATCCTGTTCACTGCCCCGAGATCCCACCTCCAACAGCATTAACATACACACCTGGGAACTGAGTCTACAGCACCCGGACTGGGGGGGGGGGGGGCTCTTGTCAAACCCTGATACTGGACGCCGTCTTTCCCTGGTTTCCTCGTTCAGCTTCCAGTTGATCCGACCGCTGGTCTTCACTGGCCGCTGGCTGGTTTCTCCGTGCCGTGACCCACACGAAGGCAGGCCCCAGCAGAACAGTGGCTTGGGGAAACGGGGCGCTCATTTCTCTCTGCCTGCCTCTCCTGGACTTCTGCTGACAGAGCAGGCACTGTGTCGGAGACAGACGATGCCATCGCCCTGTGGCCGCCACCGCCAGTGTAGATGGCCCAAGGCCCACAGCAGCAGAGGACGAGATCCGCCAGGTTTTAGCTGCTGCAGAGCCTACCCAGGAAAGGCCCTAAGTCTAGGCCTCCTCACAGGAGCAGCTCTCGTGCAGCCGCGAGTGGGGCAGGACGGGGTCTCACTCTGCCGGCTTCCTGCTCGGATCTGGTCTGTAGTGAGGAGCTACAGAAGTGTGCAAGGGCGCCGGCTGCCCCTCCACCCCCACGAGGCTTTCTCCAGCAGAGAACTGTGGGAAGGGGACCCCCAAATGTTCATGGCCTACCAAAGCCAGCTGGAAGGAGCCTTCCATACCAGGGAGCTGCCGAGCCTCCTGGGACAGCTCCTGCCCGTGCCAGTGGGGGCCCCGCTATCTCAGGCTTTCTGTCGGAGCATCCCATATCGTAACAGGTTCCCACCTTTAGCCTCTGCTGAAAGAAACGCCTGTCAAACTGATGAGAACTCTTTGTCAGTCTCCAAACGGCTCAGACGGTCTCTGCTCATCTTGACCAGCACGGGCAAAGTCCCACCGTGCTGGAAGTCCCACCTCCAGCCGGCACCACCTCCAGCCTGCACGCACCTCTGGCGGTACTTCTGCCTTTCCCGCAGGAAGCAAGGGCCATGCGGCTCGGACCTGTGTTGTCAGCTTTAACTAACGTGCCCGGGAGGAGCTGCTTAGGCAGGAAGCGGGGAGCTCTCAGCTTGGCGGTTTGGACGTGCGCAGACCACGCTGAGGCAGCCGTTGGTTCAGGCATCTAGAGACCCCAGGGATCATGGCTGACAACTCAGTGCAAGCCACGAGGCAGAGCCGGAAAGCACTCGGGCTGTGAGGCCAGCCTTCTCACGAGAGCTACCTTCCCAGGACAAGGCCCCAGTGCTGCGAAACCGCCCACTGGGCTGGTCTCCCAGATGCCTGGGTTAGGTCACGTTTCCACCCTGAATCCATCAACCATTAACAGGAATCCATTAATCCATTAACCGTTAACATGAGACTTTGAGGTTTAAACATCGACATGAGCTTGGAGACCCGAATCCTCTTCAAATCATAACAACTCCATCTGGGTTTTGGTTGTTTGTTTTTGTTGTCTGGATCATAGCAGACATTCAATAAATATTACTTCTAAAATGGGAATGTGTCTTCTAGTAGTGGATGCCTGCACGGTTCTTAGAAACCCTCCCACTGAGGAATGGCAGGAATGGTATTTTTAGAAATCTGTCCAAACACATTGAAGAGCTGACGAGATAATGCAAAGCAATCAGTGCAAGAGGGAGGTCAAATCGAAGGCCCGGGGAGGCGGCCTGGTCCTCTCGCCCGGAGCCAGATGCTGACCCTCCCGAGAGCTGTGCAGACGTCTGACGGCATCGCAGAGCGAGGACCGCGTGCTGGTACTGGGGCCCATGCTGGCCGTGGGACAGAGGTGACCAGCTCTTCTGTGGCAGCTGGAACCCTGATCCCTCGCCTCCTACACTGAGGATTGCAATAGAATTGTGCAGAACAATAAACTTGCAAATAGATGGCTGTCTTTGGAGAGTTTTATTTAAAGGCACGTCTTCCTCTTTAACATGTTGCATACCAAGCGTGGCTTTTTCCAAGTCACCAAAGTGTGAAGAGTGCATTCTAACGGGGACGCCTCCATGACAGGATTGCAGCCTGAGCAGAGGAACCAGGACCCTGCCCCCCCACCCCCCGCCGTGAGCCCTGGGGCAGAGCAGCCCAGGAAGGAGAATGAGAAACTACGCAGGACCCCGAAGTCACCTCGTCCTCAGGTTGAGCTTGGGGAAGGGTACGCGTGAGAGAAATGAGGGTGATTTTCCCATGGAGTCCCAACTTTGATGTTCTCCAGCCCATCTCAGCTTCCACTAACAAAACTCAGTACCGGGGCCGGTGCTGTGGCATAGCAGGTAAAGCCGCTGCCTGCAATGCCAGCATCCCGTATGGGCGCCTGTTCAAGTCCCAGATGCTCCACTTCTGATCCAGCTCTCTGCTATGGCCTGGGAAAGCAGTGGAAGATGGCCCAAGTCCTTGGGGCCCTGCACCCACGTGGGAGACCCAGAAGAAGCTCCTGGCTCCTGGCTTTGGATCGGCTCAGCTCCGGCCATTGTGGCCAACTGGGGAGTGAACCAGTGGATGTAAGACCTCTCTCTCTCTGCCTCTCCTTCTCTCTCTATGTAACTCTGACTTTCAAATAAATAAATCTTGAAACACACACACATACACACACACACACGCCACTCAGCCCCCAGGAAGCCTCCCGTGCACATCTGTTGAAGACGACTGGGTGGAGGTGCTCTGTGGGCCAGCAGCTGGACAGAGGCCTCAGGGGGCCCTTGAGTCTCTGTGGACAGCAGTAATAGGCCTGTGGCCTGTGAGACTTGGAGCCAGGGCATGCCAGTGGCAAGCAATGCAGTTCTTACGTTTGCCCGTTAACAGCTTTTCCCTGAACACCGATGGCCTCTCCCAGGCCCAGGTGCAAACAGCACCGCCCACGTCCCGGAGTCCGCGGGAGGTTCCGGGCCCAGTGGCTCTCCTCTCTCCGGTTGTGAAGAGAACCTGTTTCGTCCTCAGCGAAGGGCTGGCAGGTGGGGCGGAGGCACCATGAAGAAACTGATCATTGTCCCCAAAGGCTAAGCTATATGTTCTTAAACACTCTATGTAAACCATAGCTAAGAGTGCATCCAACCAGACGGACTACTTAATGTTTTTCTCTTGGAAACTGGTGATGTAGAGTGTGAGAAGAGCCGTCAGAATCCGAGCGTAGAGAAGAATACGGTGCCTTTGCCTGGCGCTGTGATCTTAGTGGTCTGAGAAATCCCCCCAGACTGGGCGGTGGGGGCAGCACTCCTCAGTGGTCTGAGAGCCCCCCAGACTGGGTGGTGGGGGCAGCACTCCTCAGTGGTCTGATAGCCCCCCCCAGACTGGGCAGTGGGGGCAGCACTCCTCAGTGGTCTGATAGCCCCCCCAGACTGGGGGTGGGGGCAGCACTCCTCAGTGGTCTGAGAGCCCCCCCAGACTGGGGGTGGGGGCAGCACTCCTCAGTGGTCTGAGAACCCCCCCAGACTGGAGGTGGGGGCAGCACTCCTCAGTGGTCTGAGAACCCCCCCAGACTGGGGGTGGGGGCAGCACTCCTCAGTGGTCTGATAGCCCCCCCAGACTGGAGGTGGGGGCAGCACTCCTCAGTGGTCTGATAGCCCCCCCAGACTGGGGGTGGGGGCAGCACTCCTCAGTGGTCTAAGAGCCCCCCCAGACTGGGGGTGGGGGCAGCACTCCTCAGTGGTCTGAGAGACCCCCCAGACTGGGCAGTGGGGGCAGCACTCCTCAGTGGTCTGAGAACCCCCCCAGACTGGGCGGTGGGGGCAGCATTCCTCAGGGGACCAGGGCGGCCCTGGTTTTCTCCCCTGGTTGTGAATTTCTGTGCCTTGCTGCCCTGCTCTGTGTCCGTGTCACCCTGCTAAACACAGCGGGTTCCACAGGAAGACGTCACATCGTTCTTGTTGACCGGGTACTGGAAAGCATTTCGGTTCCACGCCGGCCGTGGCTGTGGCCGCCGTTGCTTCCTCTCCTCTCCCAGTGTGACTTGTGTCCCCGGGGTCACTGTCATCCCGCACACCTTTGTCCCGGGTGCTCCGCGCCCGTCCGCCGAGTGCTCCCTGGCTCTGGGTGTCCCCTCTCGGGTGCACAGCTGCGCCTCCAGTTCACAGCTCCCCATCTCCCCACAACCGCATCATTGCTTCCAGATGCCAAACCCACCACAGGCTGCAACACCCGGACAACCAGCCCAGGTCCCCCCGCGTGGGAACTCTCCAAGTCCGTGGCAGTGCCCTGCCTACCCCGGCTGGAAACAACCAGGCGTCCTCTCCACACCGGTGAGCATGACGACAGTGAGCGGACCCTGGGTGTGCGGTTCATTCCATCATTCATCCATAAAGACTGACTGTTAGCACGCATGTGCCAAACGTTTGTAGAATTTTCCCCTGGGTGGAAGTGAGTCCTAATATTTTCCAAAAAGGCAGAACAGGTAGCAATTCAATGATCACAAAGTTAACTTTCACGCACTCAGAGGTGTAAGCACCTGGCACCCCCGGCATGAGAGGTGCTGACGCCGTTTCTGATGGCACGGACTCCGTGCAGTATTCGCGCAGTCACTTGATCTTCAGGCCTCGTCAGTGAATTAGCAGCCTGACAAAGCAAATCACCACCTAGGAGGCCCACACCCGTCCTTACTGCATGCAGGTGCTGGGAGCTGTGCATGAGGCCGCCAACACAGCCTGGAGCCGCGCCCGCTCCCTTCTCGGGGAAGTGAGCAAGACACCAAATCCACAGGCGACAAGCCCAGAGTCTGCAAGAGAGGCTCAGGACGCATCTTCCAAGGATTTCTAGGTGTCCACTGTGCACTGGATCCCGGGTGGCAAAAAAGATAAAAACAGGCGCCCAGACACAGCTGGACAGGAGGCGTGAGTCCCCGCACTCGGCAGCACAGGCTGCTCCCCAAGGACCAGCCTGGTGCGGAGCCAAACGTCCCCACCCTGCTAAAACCCAGCTGTGCCGGGAAGGTGCTCCACGGTTTGCTTCACAGGTTCCTATGGCTCTTCTTAGCAGTCTGCATCACCACTTACCACAGAAAAAGGGTCAATAGGCTGCGGTTTATGTGGCGCATTTAAGAATCTCTATTGTGGGCCAGCGCTGTGGTGTAGTGGGTTAAGCTTCTACCTGCAGTGCCGGTATCTCATGTGGGTGCCGGTTCAAGTCCCAGCTGCTCCACTTCCCCTCCAGCTCCCTGCTAATGGCCTGGGACAGCAGCAGAAGATGGCCCGAGTGCTTGGGTCCCGACAACCACATGGGAGACCTGGAGGACGCTCCTGGCTCCTGGCTTCAGATCGGCCCAGCTCTGCCACTGGGGAGTAAACCAGTGGCTGTGTGGCCACTTAGGGGGTGAACCAGCAGATGGAGGACCTTTCTGTGTATGTGTGTGTGTGTGTGTGTTTGTGTGTCTGTAACTCTGCCTCTCAAATAAATAAATTAGTTAAATCTTTTTTGTGGCCGGTGCCGTGGCTCACTAGGCTAATCCTCCGCCTGCGGCGCCGGCACACTGGGTTCTAGTCCCGGTCGGGGCACCGGATTCTGTCCCGGTTGCCCCTCTTCCAGGCCAGCTCTCTGCTGTGGCCCGGGAGTGCAGTGGAGGATGGCCCAAGTGCTTGGGCCCTGCACCCCATGGGAGACCAGGATAAGTACCTATCTCCTGCCATCGGATCAGCGCGGTGCGCCGGCCGCGGTGGCCATTGGAGGGTGAACCAACGGCAAAGGAAGACCTTTCTCTCTGCCTCTCTCTCTCACTGTCCACTCTGCCTGTCAAAAAAAAAAAAAAATATCTATTGTGTCCTTTGGAAAAATGATCAATTTCCTTATGGCGCCCCCACCTTGCCTGCTAATCTGGACTTATTCCCGTCATTAAATGATGTGTGGCTGCTGCCTGTATTGTGTGCAAGAAAACTGACAATAGTGTTTTTGTTATTTTTTTGTTTATTGTTGTTTATCTTGGGGAAGACACTATTAAACAGGAACATCTTAAACAAACCAACAGAAATCTTTTAGTTAAGCAAAGTCTGCCTAGGACTGGGCTAGAAGAAAATCAAGAGGAGAAAGCGCTTGTGTGCATTGCAGTAGCTTCCTCTCATCTTCCTGCAGGCAAGGGGCTGCGTTGCACAAGACCGCGAGGCGCCACGTCACCAGGACCTACTCAGAGTCCACCCCGGCTCCGGGCTGTGCTGCACGGGTCCCCGTGGCGCCCAGATCTCTTGCAGACTGCGTCCTCCGTCCCCTCGCTCACACCTCCCAGGAAGGGCAGGCCCGGAACCCCGGGGCCACGCTGCCGTTCACTCCCTGTGGCTCTGCGGCTGCTCCAGACGATGCCCGAGCTCAAGCTCATGGCGGCTCTCTGGGTAGCTGGTGATCATTCAAGAGCCCGGCAGAGCCCGGGTGGGAAACGGGGACACAACCAGGAAGCAGCTGATGCACCCCGGGGCCCAGTGCCGTTACTTTGGAAGCCGAGGGACGCGAGGCTCGGGAGATGTCCCATGCTGACCACAAGACGGGAGTGGTCCAACCGGGGCAGTCGGGTGGGATCTGCTGGGTGGTCCCCGACACGGGGCACAGGAGCTCAGCCCCGAACCGCTGTGGGGCGGTTTCCTCTTTCTCTCCACAACCTTGACCCCCAAAACCAATTTCAACTTAGACTTGGGAGTTCTTGTGTTCCCCCAGCGAGCCGGGTTTCCCCCTGGGATCCGTGTGGGATTCGAGTGCTCGGGGAGGAGTGTAAACACCGTCCACAAAGCCATGTCTTACTCGGTCTCAGCCAGCAGACACAACTCTGAGACCGCCCACACACGAACCAGAATTTTCCAAACACCAACTAATTAAAAAATTACTCTTGAACCATTGAAAAGTTTATGGATTTTTAAATTTTATATTGT